ACCAAGTCGATTCTGGTCAGCCTGGTCGCCGAGGAGCCATCGAGATCGGCCAAAGTGAACCCGACGCCCAACCAGCCGTCGCCCCTCCACGTGTTCACTTTCCCAAATTCATAGGAGCCTTCTTGGTTGATGGCTCCTTGTCCCCATTGAAGACAATAATAAATAAAAATGGCAGCCTTCTTTCATGCAATTACAATTTGCAAGGTCTGGTCCTGGCCTCTTTTGGAGATAATACTAGCCACGAGTGGAGTTCATAGAACCAGGACCGGTCAATATCCTCGGCCAATTGCACAAGAACAAATCAAGCAAGCCTGAGGCCACATGTGCATCAGAAGGCAGTTCCGATACCCCAAGACGCCAGTTTCTAAGAATCTCACGTGGCTCACGGTATGATGGGGAGGCCTAACGGCTGCGATTAACAAACTCACATTCTTGTATACAGAAGCTTAATGGATCCTATACCATGTTCAATATGCCAGGCTAGGGTCAGTTGTGATACTTTGGAAGTATGTCACATATTTGTCTGAAAAATGAAATATCTCAAAACAGTCTGCCAACCAACCACAGGAAGGACAATATCCCAGAGTTTTGCGTTATAAGAGGTAGCATCAGGAGCTGAATAGGTTGTCTAAAATGAAGTCTTTTCTTATCTTATAGGTGGCAAACACTATTTCTGATCAGACCGAGATAAATGGTGATGGAATCAACTCGGCGTAATCGTGTTGGTGAACATGGTGATGCCCAAGCTCCTATTTTGCGATTTCGATCTACACAGAGGCGGCTTAAGAGCCGTGGTGCTCTGTTGGCTTGTGTGGGAATGTGCGGAGAGCCATCAATGAGCACAGTGGACACCCGTACAGCAATAGGTCTTATAATATGATGGCAGATATAACGAAACGCGGAAACTATTTATCAATTCAGATGAAGAGATTAGCTATCAACGTGATGCGTTGGATGCGGCCTGCAGCCGGTATGTTGCTGATACCTTCCAAGAACCCTTTGATATGGTTTCATTTCTAAGTCCTGATTGAGAGCATATGCTATTTCGCATTTACCAACTACCATAGCCACTCCTCTAGGTTACTAGAATAACTAGCTCTATGATGTGTTGACAGTGTGTCCCTTTTTGTAGTTGAAGCCTGGCCCTTGATGGGTTAACTGAGCCAGAAGAATCATATGGTCTGGCTGGGCTTGAATTGAGGGGTGGAGGTCGGCGTGAGTGAATACCTCGTGATGAAAAATGGCTATTCTGTAGCTTAGAACTGGGTACTATATGTGGCTAAAGGCTTTCTAAGTAAATAGCGATCTTCGGGCTTAGTTAACTTATTAAGGGCTAGATTATAATTATAATATAGAATAAATCTTAAATATAATATAATATTATAACTTAATATTAATATAATAACTTAATATTAATATAATAACTTAATTAAATTTCTATAATAATAAAAAACTATATTTAGCTATATTATTATAAAAACCTAACCTCTTATAAGTATTTTAATTATTTTAATTTCTATATAAAAAATAAAAATAAAATTATTTTTTTATTTTTTTAAGCTATAATCTCTTAATATTATAGCTTTAAACCTAATATTAAGAATAATTATTAATTAATTATATAGCCTTATTGCTATTAAATATAAGAATTAATATATATTTTTTTAGTCTCTCTAGGGTTTAAAATAAAGTAATATTAAAGAGAATATAAAGCTATTATTAATTTATAATATTAATATAATAATTAAGCTTTATAAGTAATAAGCTTTTTTTAATAATAATAATTAAATTAAATTAATTATCTTAGGCGCTAAGGTATTTCTTATAATATTAAAATACTTAAGAATATCTAGGGTACTTAGGTATTTTATATAGCGCTATTAATTATTAAAGCTATATAAGCTTTAAACCCTTATAGTTTTAAAGCTTAAAAATTACCCTTTTATTATAGCTATAAAAAATAATATAAGCTAGGTTAATAGCTTATTAGAGCTAATTATAATATTAAAGCTAATATAAGGATAATAATAAAATAAAAAAGCTAGCTATAAGGGGGAGATTAAGGTTTTTAAGTTATTAAATTATAAAAATAATTTAAGCTATTACCCGTTGGCTTATATGGGTCTAGCGACCTAGGCGAGCCAACCTAGCAAGCTAGGTTAGCCACAAAATGATGAGACAGGACCCACCAACCAAAATTTATATATGAAAACCTGTTTTTTATCGAGAAAAGGATATGAATAGGGTTTTCTATAGAAAATAAATTTAGTAAAAATATAGAAAAAATACTTTTAAATACTCTAATTAATAAGGTATTAGGAAATACTTTTTTTGTAATTATAGCTATTTTAGTTATTTTATAAATAATTTTTAAAATTATATTTCTTAAAATATAATATTAAAACTTTTTTTAAATTATTAAATAATATAAGAGAAATACTTATAAAAATATAAATAAAATTTATATAGTTATATAATTATAAATAAAAATAGCTTTTTAAAAATCTTTAATTATATAAGTTAATATAAAAGATTAAAAACTTAAATTTTAATATTTCTTCTTATTTATATAATTTAATATTTATTAAAAGTCTTTTTAAATTATATAAAAATTTATACTAACTATATAATATTTATTAAACTTTATAAGATATTTTTTAATATTTTACATAATTTATTTATTTTATTATATAATAAATACTAAAGATTTTATGAGATTTATAAATAATAATTAATAGCTTTATAATAGATAAGGCTATAAGTCTAAAATATAGCTTTAAATAGAGTAAACTTTTTAAGCTATTTTATATAGCTCTTTATATAAGTATAACGTTAATAGTTATTTTATAAATAGTTTTATAAGGTATTTCTTTAAAATAAAATAAAAAAAATATATCTTAACTTTAAAAAACTCTAAATAATTCTAAAAAAAAGCTATAAAGATAAAGACTTAATTTCTATAAACCTCTTATAAAGAATTATATAAAAAAGATTTACTATATAAGATATATCTCTTAATTAGCTAGCTATTTATAGTTAAAAACCCTTAGTTTTTGCTATTTTTTCTGTTTTTGCACCTGTTTTGGTCGGTGGGTCCTATCTCATTATTTTATGGCTATCTCACAATTTTGTGGCCAACCTAGCTTGCTAGGTTGGCTCGCCTGGGTCGCTAGACCCACATGAGCCAACGGGTAAGAAAGAAAAAGGTTTTAATTATAAAGATAGAAAGGTTTAGGTAATAGAGGAGTATAGGCTTAGTTAGAGCATAAATATAATATCTCGGCTAATTGCCAAATGGTTAGCGCATATATCATCTTTGAATATAATGCTGAGTGAATGGCATCGGCCTGAAAAGGCGATGCCATTTGTTCATGTGTTTCCGCCAACGGGATAGCATGTGCAGTCGCACGGTGTCCAAAATACTCCTGTAGGCGCATTTGCGGTAGAGCTAGGCTCCGTCGGGTAGCTGAATCAAAAGTGGGAGACGTGATGATGTTGAAGACTGCCAATAGCTGGAACTAAGATCTATGGGCCAATACAACGGGGGAGGCAGAGGGGAGATTTAGGTATGAGTGGGAATAAGACTGACGACATGCAATGTGATATGATAACGGCTTCAGCGACAGAAAGGTCATTACGCTAGCCATGCACCGAAGCATTAAGTCTGGTCTTAGGAAGCCTATTTAAGCCACGATTTCAAGACAGTTTCAATACAGTACGTCAAGCGCAATAGCTGTTTCTTTCTTTGCTTGCTGGTGACATGACCCTAATGAGTAGGGTTTGGCCAACAGGTCATTTTTTGGTCCATCTCACGAGAAGACAACAAGCCGACTTGATACGGAGCGCGAAAAGCGAAGGGAACAAAGCCAATAGTTAATTTAGTGTATGTAAGCGCTCAAGGGGAATTAGTAAAGGCGTTCCTATCTCCCCAGTTGGCTGCCAGAGGCCCGATTAAGGTGACAAAACGTCAATAGAGAGGACCCGTGATAAGAAAAAGAAATTTACATGCATATTACATAATAAAACTGTGCCCGGCTCGAGGTGCCTGCTGTAGTTCTTCTACGGGATCTTCACGATGCTGCAACTTGGACATCATGGGATGTGCGGAGGCTAGGTCCCATCTAGGACGGCGATGCAACTAAGGTGAGTCTTGGTCACGGTGTTTTACGATATTTGGTCTTAATGCTGTCATGGGCTTATTGTTGGGTTCTTTGATATTATGCACGACGGAGACGTCATTGGAAACTAACAAGTAGGTTGAGCACGGGAACCAGCATCGTCAAGTTTATTAAGGTCGAGCTAGTCAGATGATCTGAGCTTGCTCTCCAACACTATTGTTAGCTAGAGGGTTTTCTTGATGGAAAGGTGTCTCTAGACTGTGCGCTGCAGAGAAACCAACTCTCCTTACCTGGTATCATCTTACGCTATTAACGTTCGGAAGCAGAATCCTTTACCTATCATTATCTCGACAGCTACAGACCACCAAAGATAGCCGACGCATTGCCTACACAACGTAAGGGCTTTCAACGAGATATCTTCACACACACACGAGTGCCAGTCCCTTGCGGATGTCATTGTCTGCCGTATGGCTGGGACGAAACGCCCAAGTTTAACCCCCTGCCTCCAGAAGAACAAACATTTCAATAGCGTATGACGCAGTCCACCGTATTTTTAACCGTAGGCCTGTTCCCTGAGAGAATATATGTCATGAAGGTCACCCCTTCGCGGGATTCCACCGACATTGACTCCCATTCTGCTCATTGAAGAAGACAAAAAGACACACAACGCTTGCTAAAACACCCTCATCACACGTTATACCATGCAAGTAGTGCCTACACCGCCAGACCAGTAGATCCATTATTCCACCTATACAACAAGAGCACTCGTCGGCGTGCTTTGCTTTCCTCGGTGTGAGAAGTCCCAGGACTCTGCACGCTGTACAATGTTGAGCGAAGAACCTTGCGGAAGCGTTTCTGTTTGAGTGACGACCAAGTTAGCCTTCAGCCGCGTCTACCAAAAGTTGCAAGTAAAGAATATTCATTCCCAGATGGATCGTAACAGAATAGAAGGCGCTGGGCTCGTGTAAAAGAAACAACGCAGGATCTTACCTGAAATTCGGTGCTCAAGGTGACCACACAAACCTCATGCGCCCGTATAATAATCTCGCACGCCTTCTCAACAGCCTCATTAGGACCAAGTTGAGGCATGCGATCGGCAAATAACAGTAAAATAAAGCTTCCATGTAGCAAATAGATGCCAAATAAATATGGCATGAATGATAGCTCTGGGTCGCAGGCCAAGATACGTGACATGGCATCTGACGCGGCTATAGCATGTGAAGCACACTTCATAAACCCTACAGAAGGGATCCATCCGTCTTTGTTATCCAGCATGGACACCGCATCCCATTTTCCGTGCAGAAGGACGTGAAGGACGTGGAGGATAAAAGTGCTATATGCGGTGACGAGCTCTGCCTGTGCATGCTGGCGGTGGGATGGTGGTCGCCGACTGTGATACGCAGTGGTATTGGAGTGGTGGCGAGTGTCGTTGTTATCACTGCGGGAGTTGTGCGCAAGTCGAAACGTCTCGTCGTATTGGGAGGAATTCACGGTGCTTGGAGTGCGGACTTGACTGGATGGGATCGTCGCGCCGTCGAGGGCATCGACTTGGTACAAGTCGGCCAAGTCAGCAATGCTCTGAGCGCAATCAGCCATGATCTGTTCAATCATGGCCGTGGCAGTGCTATGTTCATCTTCGTTGTCATGTTGCTGTTCTCCTCTGATACCGCCGTTCGTGTTATTCCTTGACTGGTGTCGCATATTGCCAAATCTGGGATGGCATTTCTGACGGTGCAACTGGATAACATCGCCTAAAATTGTCATGAGGGGCAAGAAGTACTCGAAGAAACTGACCCCTGAAACTCGTGTTGGAGCCCCGAAACGGCGTCCTGGATGCTGTTGCTGCTGTTGCGAGTCATCAATAGCTATCGGGTTGTCGCTTGTGATTGTAGAATTCCCTGAAAGTGACAGTGACTCCCAAGCCTTGTCTGACAGAGGTGCGTACAATTGACACTCATCATCAAGAATGCGTAGAGGCGCATTGAAGGCGAGAGCCAAGTGCCGATCGAGACAGAAGATCAGCCAAAACACCCGCCGACGCTCTTCTTGTATCTCTGGTATTGACAATCCTGTTCGCGCAGCTTCACAAGGTCTACACACGCATGGCGCGTTCGTCTTGCCCCCTGTACACATGGTTGATCCTGTCCCCGACGGCTTGTCTTCGGGCGTGTCTTCGGGCGTGTCTTCTCGGTTCAGGCACATGTTGTTGGAAAGACGCAATGCCTTGTTCCACCACCTGATGCAGTCCGTCTTGAAGTCACCGCCGGAAACCACGATGGTAAGGAGGACAAACATGAGGACATCGTCTATCAGAGGCGCAGGCGGAGATACTGAACTGGATGAGAACTGATAGCCGTAGTCATGTGGGCTTGTCTGATGCGAGCTACCAAAAGTGGCATTAGCCGAGGAGGGAAACTTGAAGTCCTTCACCAGAGGTCCGTCTGATCACGAAATATTTAGCAACACTCATGAAATATTGGCAGATGCCTCACCAGTAGTCCTATTCCAGAGGTCACGATCTCTATCCTGGATCAAGCCCATCATCAACCTTCTCAACCCCTCACAAACGCGCGACTTTTGACCAGGCAGAAGAAACAATGAGCTCTCAACCGTTTGAGCGCTGACCCAGAGCATTGTGACTAACAGAGCTGGTGTAGATCTTCGGGGGTTAGTAGATCGGAGGAGAGACTCTTTTCTCAGGACGTGAGCGAGGACATAGGGCGAGGAACATCGAAACAGGGATCCGCCGGGCTCGACAAAGTAAAGCTCCAACAGCTCGCATGCAAGATCAGCGTCGATGATGCCCTCTAGCATGTGGACAACGGGCTTGAGACATTTGTAACGACATCCCCGGTTGCTATTGGTATCTCGGCATTGCGCTGTCGTTTGCGATGGTGCAGTTGTAAACCAGACACCTTGATCTCCTGAAAGGTTCAGCCCCTGTGTAGATGATACAGAAACACGTGGGCCCTGTGGCGCTGCAAGGATATTGGGAACGGGTGCCGTTGCAAGGCAGAGATCAGGTAGGGCATTAAAAGCAGACTGATTCCCATCCACGTGATTTGCTTGGCCAGATGCTAATGTCGTTGTCGCGCTTTCCAATGATTCAGGTGGTACCGCATCAATGTGTGATGAGAAAGAGTGGTGGTTGTTCGTAGCCCCGCTAGCATCATCCTGTGGCACGCGCGAAGCATACAAATGACTGATGCCCTCATCTGCGTCCAAGATATTTCGAGCAGCCACTATTGGGTCATGATTTAGAGTCCCGAGTGATGTCTCTTGCAAGTTCTCGTCTGGCTGTGCATGCAAAGGGCGCTCCTGTTGCTGTTGTTGGCGCAGCTGCGGATGTATGTTTTGCTCCAGCTCATGATTCGCTTCAGATAAATCACCATCGCCATCCCCAGTATCATGGTCATCTGGCCGTTGCCGAATGGCTCTTGAACCTGATGGTTGCCGCGTAGCTTTCCTAGAGCTCGGCTTGCGACCACGCCGGCCAATGCTGCGGGCATAGTGGCAACTCTGATCATATTCTGTCAAGACAGCGAGTTGTTAGCCATCATGCTAAGAGACGATGTTGAGATATTTCAGGACAGGATAGGGTCACCCAGACACTGCTGATATCCTTCGAGATCGAGCCATGAGTTGCTTACCTTGACAACGATGACTACACGACAGACAACATCACCGAGTCAGCCCATGACTCCCCAATTCGTATTTTGTGGCATCATATCTCAGTAGATATCCAGAATACTTACCACGGCTTTTGCCCATCGCAACGCACCCTCAGCGCGTTACATCTGTCGCAAGCGCGTCTTGTTCTCCTGCGACCACCAAATGATTGAACGACTTGTGTTTCTGAGAATCCAGTGTCCCCACCGATCTGAGAGTGCCCGTCATTGTACCCCGTATCCATCTTGATAAGGGTCCTCGCGATATCGGATGTTGATTCGTGTTCATGCAATCAGGGAAGCTCCTAATGGATGAGCGGAGCTAAACATGTGTCAAATAACCGTGGGGTAATTGTATTCAAGATATCGGTTATTTATGACGGGGAAACATTCCCGTGACAACTTGGCTAGTCCGTTTTAGTCTCGAGTCGGTTATTATCCGCCGTGGCTCTCTAGAAATGGCTTAGCATCACTCAAGGCGGGGAGAGAGGAGATCAACAATGAATGATGATTGGCTTGCTTAATGAACCGACGGCAAAATATGATCGGTCAACCGATACCCAGATAAGCATTAAACCGTCGGATAAAAGGGATATTACGTTTGTACAGTAGTATCCCGAGCTTGATACAGAATCTGATCATATTAGTTCCACTTGATCACAGAAAGGGATCCATTGTGGACATGATCGCAACATTATAGCATCGGACTCAAGAACTGCTGGTATATATAATGGTAAACAATACCAATAATAGAGGACTGATCAATGAAGAAGCGCTGCGTATCCCTTACCATTCATCATTCATCACCCTCCCGTCGATTACTCTGCAATACAGCACCTCCTTACTAAAGTCTCAGTAATCCCAGGTCAAAAAAGCACCATGGTGGTCATCAAGAATATCGAGTCACACGACGTGCGATTTCCTGTTAGTTTCGTTGCTCAGTTGGCTATAAAGTAGATGGAGAAGACGGGCTGACGGGAGACATGCAGACATCTATGGACAAGGCTGGCTCAGACGGCATGAATCTATCTCCAGACTACTCGGCCGCTTTTTGCGTCCTTGAAACAGACAACCCTAAGCTAACCGGTCATGGCATGGTGAGTATTCTCAGCCTTGGGCCTTTTGAGTGCCTATCTAACAGTAATCGTAGACGTTCACGATTGGTCGTGGAAATGAGCTTGTCTGTGGCGCGATAGACCTTCTTGCACCTTTGATCAAGGGCAAGGATCTCTCTGAACTTACAGCCGACTGGGGCAAGACCTGGCGGTACTTGACCTCAGACTCCCAGTTGCGCTGGGTTGGTCCAGAGAAGGGCGTAATCCACCTGGCCCTCGGCGCTTTGGTTAATGCCATCTGGGACTTGTGGGCCAAGAAGCTAGGCAAGCCTGTCTGGCGCGTGATCGCAGACATGACGCCAGAAGAAGTCGTGCGGTGTATCGACTTCCGCTATATTTCAGACGCTTTAACTCCTGATGATGCACTCGAGATTCTCAGAGCTGCGCAACACGGTAAGGAGCAGAGGATCCAGGAAGCTTTGAACAACCAAGCTGTTCCAGCGTATACGACTAGTGCAGGATGGCTGGGCTATAGCGAGGACAAGATGAAGAGATTACTTCAAGAGAGCGTACAACAAGGCTTTAAATATTTCAAGCTCAAGGTTGGAACGGATCTTGAAGAGGATCGCCGGAGGTTGAAGATTGCGCGGGAAGTGCTACGGTATGATATGGGCAACGTGCTTATGGTGGATGCCAATCAGGTATGTTCGCCTCATTATCATGATCTTGAGAAGAGGTTTTACTGATTCGAGATTCCCTAGGTCTGGTCTGTTCCTGAAGCCATCACACACATGCAGGCTTTGGCCGAGTTCAAACCGTGGTTCATTGAGGAGCCAACTTCTCCCGACGACATTCTGGGCCATGCCGCGATCCGCAAGGGATTGTCCGACACAACCTATGGTCCAATATCTGTAGCCACGGGTGAAATGTGCCAGAACCGTATTATGTTCAAGCAACTGCTTCAGGCGGGTGCAGTGGATGTGATCCAGCCTGACGCATGCCGAGTTGGAGGTGTCAACGAGGTCCTCGCCATCCTACTGCTCGCACGCAAGTTTGATGTCCCTATTGTGCCCCATTCAGGCGGTGTTGGTCTGCCTGAGTATACCCAGCATTTGAGCACGGTTGATTATATCGCTATTAGCGGTAACAGGAGCGTGCTCGAATTTGTAGATCATCTACATGAGCATTTCCATCATCCTTCGAGGATCGAAAATGGCTATTATGTAACGCCGCTGGAGCCTGGCTACAGCGTGGAGATGCTTCCGGAGAGTATGGAAAGATACAACTACCCGGGCGGGGAGAAGAGTTGGTGGAGGACGAAGGAAGCAAGAGCAGTGATTGAGCAGCCTCGAGTTAAGGCGCTATAGATGTGACAAGTTTCGTTTTTCTCCTGTAGGTGCGGTCAATGTGGGTATATAGAAATAAAGTGTCTCAAGGCTCAAGATATCTGCATACAATACGTTCATTCTGGCAGCAGTGGTTAACGTTCTATACATGCAAAGGGCATAAATAAAGAATTTGTGGCATTCCATCTCTAGTCCAATCATGTTACATGATGCCCGGAAGAATGTCAAGGAGCCAGTAGAATAATTACGCCCCGCTAACTCATTGTCCACTTACCGAGTCTTTGTTATAGCTTAAAGCATTCTTAAAACGACAGGACAAGTGAGTTCAGCCTATCTTGTCAAATTCCGGGGTGTATACAATAAAGAATAATATAATCCCATGTTAATTCCCCAACTTTTAACGCATGAACTGCTAGTCCTAGAATACGCCACCCCTTCCATCACTCTATCCTGCCGCCTGAACCACTGTGGATTGTATCAAGCTATCCCTGTCCATCGCACTCACTTGAACAGCGTCTTTCTTGGTACTATTGGTGCCGTTCGGGAGACTAACTTCTTCCCTCGCCTTGGTATTGCTGCCTGAGAAGTCGTAATCTATCCATTCCCCAAGGATCGAACGAACTCGCTCAAACAGGGGCCAGTTGCGCTCCAGAGCCTCCTGGTCAAGCTGGTTGTAACTCTGCAAGCTCTCAGACGCTTCGTTACCAGTGAAGGGGGCCACTTTGAGTATCCTCTTAGCAGCAGCGACGTTTTGCTCCAGATCCGATAAGTTGCTGATGCCTGTAATTGTGGACACCGTGAAAGAAGAAGTGCAGCTTTGTCTAGCTTTCAGGATTGCATATTGCAGCGCCACAGATGAGAGAGACTCTCCCTTTCCATGGCTTTCTACCCACTTGGCAGCTTCGGCCGCAGCCTCTCGCAGGCCTTCTGGCGCGGGGTGCCAGTCGCCCGTCAAGCCCCTGGGAATGCCACCAGTTCTCAACAAACCAACAGCCAATGGACTTGAACAAAAGACAGAATTTACACCAGCAGCACGGAACAGCTCGAAGCCACGTGTCTCGACTTGTGTATTGTGGAGTGTAAGCTGTGCCCACGTTTGGACAACATCGACGGGGTGTCCATAACGTTTTCGCACGGTGCTAGCAACCTCTGCAAGGACATCAATGTCGTATCCTGATATCCCAACGCGGAGGATAACACAAGCGCGCTGGAGTTCCAGAAGGACGCCCACGGCTGTGACGGCCTCATCGATGGACACATACTCGACGTCGTGGCAGAATACCACATCCAAGTACGTCGTCTGGAAACGCTCCAGAGACCGAGCGACTGATTTGCGGATCCAGTCTGGGGAGTAGTTGAATTTATTCTCCTTGATTCGGCCGACCTTCGTCATGAGCTTGTAGTCGCCACGTTTATACTTGGACTGGATGTTTGCGTGTGAGAGGGCTGCACCCATAAGCTGCTCGGAGGGCTCATAGTAAGGTGAGGTGTCGATGGTACGGACACCAAGCTCAAATGCGCGCAGAAGAATATTGATGATTGGGAGGGACTGTGGCTCAGGGTGTAGCTGGTAACTAAAGCCTGCCCCTCCCATTACCAGCGGAGGGGGATTGAGACCGGTGTGTGTTGGTGATGATGTTTGAATCGATCCCATGGCTGGCGTGCCGAGTTTATGACCCGAATGGCGAGATTGACGGATAGAGCAACGAGATATAGTGCGGCACTGAGAGTATAATCTGCTAGATGAGACCGAGATGGTGAGGCATTTGTTGCTGGGCTGTGAGAGAGAG